ATCATTAGAAATTTTGGGCCACAAAGTTTGGTACTTCCTTGAAACTAACTTTGGCTTTCCTGCGAACTGCCATACCTCTTAACTGTCTCGTTTGGTGGGTGTGGTCAACTAAACCAATTTCCTCTTCCTCTACTTCTGATTCTAAAAATAAGAAAAAAAATACTTTCATTTTTGCCAAGTCAGCAATACCTGACAATGACAGGACAAGCTCCTCCCTTAAGTCTTCACTATCAAGGGGCGTGGTCTCTTCTGATCCCTCCATTTTGATTGGTCGCTCTAGTTCAGGGTGCTCAGCTAGTAAAGTATCAAGTTTTTCCTGATACTTCTCAGTCTGTCCCTCAAGATCGGGAGTATTAGTACAGTATGATACCAATGAATCATAAGTATCTATCTGAAGAAAAATAAGAAAATATAAAATAAATACGTTTCACATACTCACTAGTGATTTATAATCATTGACAGATGATGCTAGTTCAATCGCAGTGTGGTACGCTTGAATTGCCTTCTTTACATCATTAGAAGATTCATATACTCTAGCCATGTTAGCCCAGCTACAGGCCTCCTGCAAATGACACACTCATTATTGCATCATTTTACATCAGTGATGACATCACTTTACATCATGTGACATCATTGCTCACTTCAGATGGGTGACCTTGCCACATTTGTAGTTCTTTCTGATGATATTCAAGAGATTCCTTGTACTGTCCGTTGTCGCAATATGTCTCTGCAATTGAGAAATATATCCTCGAGATATCCTTCATTTCAAAACCATGCACCTCAGCTAACTGCAGCTGGAGAGAGAAAGAGCATTTTAAATTTAAAATTTTAACCCAAAAGAGAAGTAAAAGTCACCTCTTTCTGATAAAATTTGACAGCTGCTTCATAAAACTGATACTCTTTATTGGCACACATGTCCCCCAGTCTGTCATACACTTTAATCTTCTCCCTAACATCATCATAGACTCCTTCAGCAGTAACTGACTCACTGAGTGATAATATCTTATTAACTAAAAAGAATAAAATAAATAAACACATACCACACTAACAATGATAATTGTTAATGTAATATAGTTTAATGTCATTATTTGGGTGAAGCCATTACTGGCAAAGGAGGATTGTTTGCTTGTACATGTACATCTAATGAAGGACAAACCCCAGTTAATGTTTTACATTCTTCTAGTTCTTACTATCAAGAGTAGATAATCTTTTTATTATTATTAATATAAACTGACCCAGTTTATATTTCTTTATTAGTTGCTGGTATTCATCATCAGGCCAATCTTCATCTGATGCTTTTAATGTTAACTTCAGATATTTCTTTGCATTTTGAAAATCAACGAGCTTAATGTACACCTGGTGGACAAGAACATGTATATCTATCACTTATAAAATGGAATGATTATTAGTTACCATGGCAATCTGAAAGAGTGTCACCGATCTATCGTGTTTGATTTTGCTCTTTTCAGAAAACCTCAGACTCTCTTCTAGTACAACAAGGGCACGGTTCGGTGTACGGGCACTAATTAGAATACCAGCTAAATTAAACAAACTTTGCCAAGTCAGTTTATGACAGTCGCACTTTCTAAAAAAGAAAGAGTTAAATATTTGATTGACCACACCCACTTTGATAAAGAACAAGCTTCTTCGTAATGCTTTTCAGCAGATTCCAAGTCTTTATTATCCTCAGCTACAAGGCCCAAGTTAAGATAAAGCCGTCCTTTCATTTCGTGAAGTTCTTTCTCAGTAACCACGCCCGCTAAACCATCACAAGCTTTGAGGGCTAGTACGTATGCCTGACTGGCTTTGTCTAAGTATTTGGCCACACCTACTGACTCCTCCCCATCACCTTCTTTGTACCTCTCATACCTAATTTGTAAAATACATGTATATGTAAATTACTGGAGATTTTAATGGGCTTCAAATTTTGTGGCTTAATGATATCAATTTTTAAAGCACAAAATTTGATTCCACCAGTAATTTTAATTAACCATATTTTCCCGATGGTAGCATAAGCTCTTTGTATCTCTTCTCCACTCTGTAGGTCTTCCACTAAATTGAGATACTGTTCCTCTTCTTTCAGAGACTCGGAGAACCTGCCGAGCTCAGCAAGACACTCCCCCACTTTACGATGACCTACTGCCACACCCAGTTTATCGTTGATACTCTCCGAGAGTTGACGCTCTTCGATATGATACTTTAACGCCTTGTGGTGATTACCTATTGAGTTAATAGGGTTAATTAAGAGGAGGTGTGGTCACTGACCAATCTGACTGTAGTAGAGCCCTATATTGTTACATATGGAGGCAGCCTCTTTTAGATTATTCTTATCGTATGCTCTTTTTCTCTCTCGCATAAATCCTACGACAAATAAATGAACAGAAAAGAAAATAAGAACTGTACTTTCCAGTTCTCTGCCCGCCATGATTATTGGATTTCCCGCGAAAATTTTCAATACCACGCATGCGCATTAGGACAAACCGGGCTCGCGTATAAGTGGGTGGGGCTGGCACTTTGCAAAAGAATGCAGGATGGCTTCTGTAGGTGAAGTAGAGCCAGTGGCTGAGCTCCCAAGGCTGGTATCAGGGTCTGTGGTGTCTGTAGACGAGAGGGAAGACAATGGAAG